ATTGCATCGCTTTAGCCGAACGTAGCATTTTGTAAGATTATTTGAAAGAGTCAAATATTTATTACAGTAATCGAATTGCTTAGCGCTCATTCTTGAGCTAAAATTTAGACCGCGTCGTTGAGCCGGCCACGTCGCAGATCGTAAACTCCCTATTATACGAAGAACGGGGATAGGAAATATAAGAGTCCACTTCATGAACGGACAACCACTTCTATCTAAAATATACGCCCCGAAGAAAGACAAGTTAAGCTACAGTAATCATATATTATATGAATGCATCAGATCAATGGCATACAATGTACAAAACTAAACTTGTGATATCTTCTACTCAAACTGAATTCTCCCACAACACAAAAACTGAACAGTGCAGTTGTATACCTATCATTAACTTTGCACAGGATGAATTATATACTACACTTATGACTTTCAAAACATTCTCTACTATTCAGTGGTCTTCGACTATGATTGACTCATTGCTACAATAATGCATGTTCCTCGAATAGTTTGTGTATGTTACTCAATAGTTAACGTTGCCAAGTGTAAACAACAAGTGACAGAACTTTTGCTTCCGATATGACTACAATAAGTTTTGAAAATTCGATCATTATGGGGATTGACAAGTGACAGTTAAATAGCTTGCTGCCGGCTGTATACAGGGTGTATAAAAAAAAAACGCAACCTCGGAATTTCCTAAGAAATCACTTTGCAATTCTTAAGCATAAAAGATTTTAGGCCCCTGGGAATTGAAATCGAATTGCTAATAGATCATATTACTGTTGTTGTGCATTAAATAAATGCATAAATTTTGCTTTGTGCACTCGCGTGTGCAGTAATTTTGACAGTTATGCTATTTTAAATTCCCAGGCGCCTAAAATCTCTTGTCTTTAAAACAATGTCGATTTCTTGGGAAATTCCGAGGTTGCGCTTTTTTTGATACACCCTGTATATGTAGACACTTCGAATATTGTTTGCATGAAATTTTTATTTCTGACTGCATAATTATCCTTTACAATCATAATCACAATATAAAATTAGTTAAATTTTCTCGGCGGTGGGGGGGGGGGGGGGGAGTGTAGTTGCCTCTGCTGTGTACAGCCCAGATGTGTATTATGTTTGACTTTAAAGTCATATTTACTATTATATTATAATAATAAGTGATGAATGTTGTGTCCTTTATTTTATGCATAGAACATAATAATGAAACATAACGTGAATATAAACTTTACAATAACTTTCTAGTCCGTTCGATTGTTTTCCTAACACGTGTCTATTTTCCATAACCCAGTTCATGTGGTCAGCGGTCATTGTCAGTCACTACAGTTCTCCCCTTCATGGATTAGAACCCTATAATGCGGTAGAACTATAACCGTAATAGTCTGGTTGTCGTTTATAGAGCGACGAGGTCGTTGAGCAACAATTGTTTCTGGAGGTGTTGTTGGAACATCTGGGGCAGTTGTAACTGTTATTGGCACTTTCTTAACAGCCGTAGAGTGGCGCATGAGGCGGCGATTTCCATCTTCGATCAGGATGGAGTCACCCTTGACGGCGGTGACACGAAACGTATTGGCACGCCACGGTAGTGCTACTTTGCCTTTCTTTTCCGAACGGATAAGGACCTGATCGCCGACTTTAATTGAGCTGGGCTGTACTTTCTTCTTAATATCGTGGTAGCACTTTCCCTTTTGCTTGTTGTTGGCGTCGTGCTGTCGGTATGACATACGGTTGATCTTTATGGACGCTGACGGCTGTAGTGTTGGAAGCTTGTCGTTGACGTTTTGTCCGAACATCATGGCTGCTGGTGGCTGGCCGGTGACCGTATGGGGCGTGGTACGATAGGCCAACAGCCAAGCGTCGATGGCCTTACGCCAATCCCGTGACTCGGCTATTGCGGTTTTGACCACTTCGTCGATACTGCGATTTAGCCGTTCTGCTTCGCCATTCGCACGTGGATACCGGGGAGTTAATTTTTTGTGCTTGATACCAAATTCTCTCATAAGGTTAGAGAACCTGGATGACCGGAAAGTTTTAGCATTTCCTGGGGTACTCCGTAGCGTGCAAAAATTCGACGAAGGCGCGGTTCCAGGGCGGCAGTCGTGATATGCTTCATGATTTCTACTTCAGGATATCGACTATAATAGTCGACTAGCACCAACAGGTTTTCTCCGGTGGGAAATGGGCCTACGAAATCCATCCCTATCAATAACCAGGCTGCTTTTGGGAGGGTGGCGGGTTTCAGTGGGGTGAAACTAGGTTTTGTTGGCTCAGTCGCTACAAGACAAGGCTGGCACCGTTTCACGAATGTTTCCGCCTCCGTGGACATTCCCGGCCACCATACCTTAGTACGCAAACGGACTTTCGTCTTGGCTATGCCTTGGTGCCCCTGGTGAGCAAGCTCGAGAACTCTTTGTTGTAGGGACCGAGGGATAACTATGCGGTTATTTCGGAGCAGGACCCCGTCAGAGAAGGAAAGTTCGTTTCGATGGCTAAAAAAGAGACCAAGGTCTTTGTTCCAGGTGCCTGACTGGAGAGACTGGAGTACTGTTTGAAGCGTCGCGTCCTTTGCTGTGGCTTCTTTTACTTGTTCGATGGTGTAGGCTCGTGGCAGTGACGCTGTGGTGATGGCATTGATCATTCTGGTATCCGCATGTTCGCCGGGATTGACGTGAGCTCGGGGTGGAATCGGTTGTCGTGAAAATACATCGGCGGCGTTCTTTGGACCCGGTTCGTAACGAAGTCGAAAATTGAGATGTTGAATGCGCAGCGCCCAACGCTCGATGCCTGGAGGAAGTCGGGACCCGGGCTTGTAGAGACCAAGCAGTGGCTTGTGGTCGGTTATGATGGTGAAATCTGGGTCACCGCTGAGATAGTGGTCGAACTTCAAACAGCCGAATTTGACGGCGAGTGCTTCCCGTTCGATCTGGCTGTAGCGTCGCTCGACATCGCTTAGCGACCGGCTAGCGTAGGCAACTGGTCGCGAAGTTCCATCTCCCTGGATTTGACACAGAATGGATCCCAGTCCCACAGGCGAGACGTCTACTCGAAGCTCAGTTTTACGATCTTTGTCGAAGAAAACCAGGCATAGGGCCCGCGAGATGCTGTTCTTCAGGCTATGAAAGGATTTCTGCTGATCAGGTCCCCAGATCCACTTATTACTGAGCGTGTGAGGCGTCGGAGGGGTTCCGTTGCGTGGCAAGGTTGGGCGTGAATCGAGCGAGAAAGTTGATGAGACCGAGAAAGCTCTTCACTTCGGATACGTTGCTGGGGGTTTTAAAGTACTTAACTGCGTCAACTTTCTGTTGAGAAGGTTGGATGCCCTTGGAGGATAGCTGCATGGCCATGAAAGTGACTTTGTCGACCCCAAAATGCACTTTGCCTTGTTGAGGGTGATGTTATATTTCTTCAGTTGGTTGAGGCAGGCGGCAAAACGCTCGTTGTGCTCTCGTACGGTGCGACTGTAGATGGTTATGTCATCGTGAATCCATTTTACACCAGGCATACCTGACAATACCATGCTCATTACTCGTTGGAGGATTTCTGAAGCGTTGGTGAATCCCATTACCAGAGTGGTACATCTGCGGAGACCCCTTGGTGTGGAAAAAGTAGCGTACTTTCTGGAATTTGGATGCAATGCAATTTGGTGGAAACTCTTGAACATGTCCAGCTTTGACCAGATGGTAGTAACCGCCCATTTCGTCTGTGGCTTCTTCAAATGTGGGTATGGGCTGAATCTCTCGCTCGACGTGTGCGTTGACGTCGCGCCAGTCCTGTGTGATCCGAACATCGCCTGGCGTAGACTTTGGGACGACGACGATACGTGACACCTAAGGTGTTGGGCCTTCTACTGGCTCAATGATGCCAAGTGACTCTTGGATGTCGAGCTCTTTATTCAGCGCCTCTCGTAGGTGAACTGCCACGCGTGAAGGGGAGTGCACAACAGGGGTGGTACCTTTTTTCATATGTATTTCGACTTCGACCCCTTTGACGCGGCCAAGTCCCTCGAAGACCTTGCGATACTTGGAAAGGATGTTGTTCTGTCGTAGCGACGTGGGCAATGATGCTGGTTCAGGGATAGGATTTTGTTGTTCAGTTGTGGGAAAGAGGCTGCGACGAGGAGCTGGTGTGGTTTTGGACGCTGCTGCATCTGTGTGTATTTTGGTTGCGGTGTTCTCCTGCTCAGACGCGAGGCTGTGCAGACCGTGAGTGTGGTGAAGAATGCCCATTTCCATGGACGTGTCTCTGCCCAGGATGATGGTGCCCTTATGGTTGGCGATGACAAATTCTACTGAGGACCTTTTGCCAAATGCATCCACAGTGATGTGACACGCGCCCAAAATCTCGAGAGGTTGGCTGCTGCTGTATGGGTAGATACATGTGGACGTAGGCTCCGGCTTGGAACCCTGTAGTTTGACTTTCTGGTATACATGTAAAGGGAGCACGTTGACGCTGGCTTCCGAGTCAACGAGCAATGTTGTGGGGAAACCATTGAGTAGGAGAGACATTCTAGCATTGTTTTTGTTGTTATCGGGGTGGGGAGCTTGTAGGGTGAAAATTTCCTCTTCGCTGCTATCGCGTGCAACATACTGTGCGGATTCAACAGGGGCAGTCTCCCCCCAGTGTAACGCATTCATTTCGTCATTACGTGCTGGGGGGCCCTGGGTGCTTCGGCATGCCTTTGCGAAGTGATTTCTCTTTCCGCAACGACTACATGTCTTGCCTCGGGCTTTATCACATATGCGATGTCCTAGTTTGCCACAACGGTAGCATGTCTCATGTGACGGCGATTTCCGAGTTTGTTGCTGTTCCTGTTTCCTGGCGCGCTCGACCCAGTCCGGTTCCTTTTTGCGTTTGTCGTTCGGCTTCCGGTGTTGGCGAAGACTCGAGAGTTCATCGGAACTGCTTTCTGGGTTGTTATTTTCGCTTATCTCGCTCTTTTCGATGGCTTTAGCGTGCATTTCAGCGGCTTCGAGTGAACGGGGGCGGTCTTTAGTGCCTCTTGCAAGGAAATGTTTGGAGTTTCCAACAGTTTACGCCTGAGTTTAGTGGAAGAACAACAAGCGACAATTTGATCTCGGATTATACTATCAGTTTGGTTGTCATAT